TTGACAGCCTTCTGGTCTGCCACAGAAATGATGATCATGCTGATCTTTGGTGGGATACAGTGTAGGGACCGCATTAATCCAGCTGTGCTCTCCTTAGGACCTCAGTCCACAGACAAGAACTCTGAGCCACTGTTACAAGTTTGAAGAGGCTGCCTTCCATCCTTAGATGACTCTGCTTACATTCTTGGACTTTAGAACTTTTTAGGTGACATGTGGACAAGTTACTTTATATTAGAAGAAGCCTATTTTGTTTTATCCATCTGAAAATATCTTTCACTATAATTTTTCATTACTGCCTCTTAACATAATAAAAGACTTTTGAAAATCCATTATCTAGAAGCAGCATAGGAGTAAGGTAAGGAAATGGTTCTGGTACCATTTGAAATTATTTCACCATATTTAATTTATTTTCTTTTTCTAAGCTTAACAACTGAGTAAAACACTACCAATTTATGTCTAATCACAGAGAGCCTTCAGTGATGAAAACAGCCTTCCAAACCTTGTCTCTAGTGTTACTTACTTCATTGTCTAGGAAACTGCAAATGCAATTTAACCAACAAGGACAGCCACCAAGTTTACCTCTATAAACAAAGTGGCTCCTGTTCCCTGGCCTCAGGATGTGCCTTAACAAATATAACATCCTCTAGAAGTCTGTGACAGCTTGTAACAGAGCTGCTGGGAACTCTGTGCGTGAAGCTTCAGACCATCAGGTTTGACCTTTGTGTTTCTGCTTAAGACAGGGGAAATCAGTTAGGTCACTGCCAGTAAGCACTTACCATCCAAAGCACAAAAAGAACAAATTAAGGAAGTCATCATGAAACCTAGAGGAAGCGAACAATGCCAGGTCCAGTGCTTGAAATGCAGACTTTCAAGTCCTGGCTGGAATGTTTTGCAAACAAAGCTAATCAGCTGCAGCCCAAAGTATCACTGACAATGTACCTAGAAGAGGTTTACAAGAGAGCCCTAACCTGCTTTCCATCAAAACACTGCCCCACAGAGGTTTTGTCTACATTTTAAAAACAGCATACAGGTACGTTTTCAGCTTTTTAAATGGATCACCTGCAACAAATCTGAGGCTATGATCTGATCTGGATGTTGCCCACAGGGCCCAAGCGCTCAGGGGCGGGGTGTGGGGCAGGTAACCAGATCGTGGAGGCACCCTGGTCCTCCCTCATCAGTGAATGCATCGTTTGATGAGCGCTCACAAGTCAATGTGCTGTGCGGGCGTGGAGCCTGGCTGGTGCAGGTGAGTCACTGGACACATGATCTGCTCCTGTCCCTGTTCTCTTCCTTGCTGTGCCCTGGCTGTGAAGGGTTTAACACCTTTCCTGTCCTGTACCGTGTCCCTTTGCTATGATGGCTCTGCCTTGGAGTTGGTGGACTATGGCTTAAACATTTGAAACCATGAGCCAAAACAAACCACTTCCTCCTTTAAACTGTATATATCGAGCATTTTGTCACAGCAGTGAGACGCCAGCACAACTGCCCATGAAGAGAGATACCCTAGTCAACTGAAGTTTTTTTCTTCCTATCTTCTACCTCACCCTTGAGAGTACAACTTCACATGACCACCGCCCTGAGGCTTTGGCGTCACCAGGGACCTGTCTTTATTTTCCTTAAGAGAACTGATATATGACAAAGGCGGAGACTATTCTAGGGAAAGAGGGCAGACAAACTCCGAGGCCTTTCACCTACACATGCCCAGTGGGTAACGACAGCCAACCGATGCTTGACCTGCATTTTGCATTTGTTTCCTTTCTTGCTCTAACACTGAGTCTGCTCCTCTTCAGAGCTGCATGGAGGAATGGCGGTCATTTAGAGAGTATCTGTCCAAAAGCTGACAATGTGAGGTTGCTTATCCCTAAATGTACATAATCTATTTCAATTTCCTTCAAGACTGAGGTGAGATGAGATTACAGGGACACTCAGCCTCCCAGTGAGTGCTCAGAAGTCTCCAGTCACTGCTCTAAACCTAGGATCACCCTGGATTCCAGCAGAGGCTGCACAAAACTGAGACTGGCCCAAACAGAAGCAGCTGTCTCAGGGAAGCCAGCCTAAGAGATAAAGACTTCTCCAGAACCACTTGGAAAAACCAGAACTGAGATCATGATTAACAAGACCCTAGCCCACCCCAGCAAATCCATTAAAAGCTGGTCTCATTCTTCTGTAACTGACCAGGCTCATGGTCTTCCTTAGAACTGTGCCCTCTTTGGCTCCTGGCCTCTGTCTCTCACTGATGTGTCCTAAAATTCTTTTTCTGCAAATAGAGTCAAGAGTCTACGTGGGCAAGTTGAGGTCCCTATCTGTTCTTTGGGGAACCATACCCAGAGCCAGTACCAGTGGGGATGCTAATCGGATTACTGCCAACTTTATGTGCTGATCTGAACTAAATTCTTCTGTAATCGGAAATGGTTCTCATACTTGTGTCTGAGCGGGGAAAGGTCTGGTGTGTAGTAGATACAGTTGGTGGTGGTCCTGCTCATGCCCACTTCCCAGGAACTTTGAATCTGTGCTACAAGGTCCCTGACCCCATGCCCTGGCCACAGATGACTAAGTGGCAATGTACACTTGGCTTGAGGGCCATAGGCAGGCTGAGCCATTCAGATCTACTCCTCAGGAATCTGAGCTGTGAACTAAGATTGAGTCCTTTCAGTGGAGCAGAAGCCTTAGCTGCCAGGGACGAGAAGCAGATGACACAGGAAGAGAGAGGCAAAGAGAGCAAGGGAGAGACAGAATGTGCAGGCACACTAATCCTGAGGTGCCCCCTGCACTGAGGCTCAGCAGGGAACCTTAGCACCTGACTTTCCGTCTAAGCAGTGTGCAGAGGCCTGGCCCTGAGGCCTGGCCCTGAGGCCTGTGTGACTCTCCCTGCTCAGCTTGCTTCTGTGTTTATCTGTTGCCACAATCCCAAGCGCTCAGGCGGAGCCCAAAACATGTAGCAAGCTCATTTTCCCTGTATTTCTAGCCAGTCTGAGCTAGGATCAGGCAGTATTTCCACTAGTTGTGAAACAGAAAGCAGCTCACTCCTCATTCACGGTGAACATACAGAACTGGGATTCGGGAATCTGCTCAGAGCATTTCACCTGGGCCTCCTTCAGCCACACTGTCTTTAAGGTCCACGAAGGCCACGCTAGCACAGCTTGTCATTCACTCAGTGTGAAGACACCACTAGGGAATTAAGGAATAATGGATGCGTCCAGATAATAGTCTGCCGGGGAAGAGACCGCTTCATGCAGCGTATTATTCAACTCTGCTATTCCACTTGCCATGAAAAGGGGTTTTCCTTTGGGTTCACCAAAGAAAAGCTTCTAGACCCTTGTTTTTCCTGATTTCAGGTGTGCACTCCAGCCAGGGCCTTCTGCACCTCCGATTTGATTACTAGCTGGATGGACGTGTGCTCTTGCCATGGCTCTGCAGATTCCAGCTGTTGTCACCTTGCCTTTGCAAAGCACACCAGCTGGCTGAATACTCTACCTTCAACCTGTGACCTGCTGGTGGCTCTGCAGAACCCAGGGCATGGAACCCATCTGCGACACACTAAGTAACATTCCTTCCGGAGCCACACTTGTAGAAGAACCTGTTTGTGGGTGAACTCAATGGCCCTTGTCCATCCTAACCTCACTAAAGATGTAAGTTTTGCTTCTTGTGGCCACACTGATATAATGACTGTGTCAGAGTATCATTAACTTCAAACAACTTCCCTTGCCAGGGCTTCCTCCAAAACCCTGCTCTCTTTAAGTCCTGGATCAATTACAATTTTTTTTCAGGGTGGAAATAATCACATTGTTGAGTCTTTGCCTCTTTAAGGATGAAAACTGAGTTTGTCTCTCCTTTTCAACTTTCATTTCTAGTTCTGCGTTGGCATTTATCCGAGCACTGTCATAACCACAATCATGGAAGAACTCCATTTTTCCCATGAGGAATCCAATGAAGAAAATGTGATGGTTTTTCTTAAGCAGAAACATCTGTAAAGCAAATTGACACTCTTGCGGGTGTCTTCTGAGGGACTAGAGAAACCTGTGCATATCTTCTCTGAAAAGAATGTGCATCTTGGTAGTGGGACCATCCAGCCTGACCCCAGAATGTCAGGATTGTATGCAAGTTAGGGAAAGGTGTCCGATGCCACAGGGCTTGGTCAGCAGACCGAGCCTTTCTCCTGGGGCAGGTGGCATCTCCTGCATCAGTGACCACAGCTTGGCCAGGAGACCTCAGTGCATTGCACGACTCATACAGTGGACGTGGTTGGTCCCATAAGAGAAACAAAAAACCCCAAAGCACCACCCTTCCATTCGGGACCAAATCTAATTTGCCCAGCTAAAAACATCAGAATCTAGTGATTCTTGCTTGAATGTCCTATTTCAGTGCTACAAAAGTGTGGTCTGTAAACTAGTATCATCTCACAAAATTGCTGTTACCAGATTTCAAAATAAAGTGTGGAAATTTAAAATGTTTAGAAAGTTTTATAGCAATCTGTTCCCAGTAAGACATTTCTATATTTATTAAGTGCCCATCTGCAAATAACTGAAAGATTCAATAACTCATCTTTCACCACAGATAGCTTAAGGGGTATACTGTGACACAAATCCCTGAAAGAAAAGGCCACTTCCTGCTTTAAAGAGAGAATTTCCTGGAGAGTTCAAGGTGTCTTTTCAATTTATTTGCACTTAGGAAGACATAACACAGAGAAAGCCAAAACCATAGCTACCAGTGTGCACAGCCCCCCACGCATAAGGACACACTCCATGTGACCTTGGGATGTGTAACCCAAGTAGAGAAAAATGTTTGCTCATTTACCATTTGCTGACTGAACCCAGATCAGATATACTCCAGTGCTGTTTTTCTTTCAACCAACCCAGCATGTTTAACTACAGCTAAAGGTATCTTCTGATAAGAGATGTAAATATTTGTCTTTCCTGTTTATCCACAGTGACAATAATACTCTTACAGCAAACCATTTTCACCAGGCACCCTCTCAGACCTGCCTTTTCATTTCAGGGAGTCGTTGAGGCGCCTACTTGGAGGCACATTAGACCAGAGCTTTGAGGACACACATGCAGTTCTTGCAGCCGGGACCCTGTTGCGTGTCAAGTTTGTCCCACCTGCTTCTCCTCGCCTCCCCCGGGTCCTTCCTAAGAAGCTCTCAGTGCAGCAGGGAAGCTGGCATCCAATGTGCCCAGCTGTGGGTACAGCCGGACTGGACACCTTCTTCAAGTGTTCCCAAGCTGCTTCCCAGGGGCGGCAGTGACACGCAGTGGGAGCTACGGTGTCCCAGGCCTTCGCACTTGTGCTGGTAAGTGCTGATGTCTGGGAAGGCCCTGTGCAGCCGTCAAGCGTGTCCATAAAGTATCCGAGCGACTGGTGTCCACCTCCTAGCTGCAAGTGAGCAGAGTGAAATCCTTTGGTGCTACAGTGACTCACCTCTGCTTAGATATCCTATTGATGCTGTGTATGTCAGGAACAAGAAAATATTCTGTTCCAACGAGTTACTTCACTGGGAAAAACACTTCTGAACTTCAGCAAGGCTTCTAGGGATATTTTTAAAACAAACTACTTGTGCAGAAATAGACTCTATCCATTAAACCTAAGATTGAGACTAAGACAAAAATAGCAAGAGTGGGGACTTTTTAAGGCAATTCTCTGGAATAAACTTCCCGAGAATCATACAAATAAGTGACTGACGCTGGTGGCAGCAAAAAGACTTAACCATCTAAGATGCGGTACCACTGATTAGAACCAACAGAATTATGTACAGAGATCTGATTTTTAGAAACTGGTGTCTTCTAAGAGATTCCAGGTAGGGCAATGGCTGCATGATTCCATAGGCAGGCCATCCACCTAGCACTCATCTGCCTAGCACTCCCCTGGCGGGCTCCTGAGCTGCACCATCTCCACGCAGAGCCCAAGGCCCCAACACGCTCCATGAGCCCCCACAGGCAAGCGGCATCTACTTCTGGTTGGTCAAGGGCACTTTGACCCAGGATGGCTAAGCATATGAGATGTGAGCGAGACAGTTTCCCACTCACTGAGAAACCACATAGACATTAAATATAAGCCAAATGAGACTTCCTGGCCTAGAGGAGTACGGTAGGGTTAAAACAAAAGCCAGTTAACCAAGTATTTCAAATAACATAGGAGTGGTTGTATAACTTGGACTCAGTTTTATGTCTAATTATAGAATAGACTTTGTGATAGACATAGGATTCAAAATAAAGTGGACATTAATATTATTGATTATAATAAATTTATTAAAATAAAGTTAGAACTAGAGGCCAGGCTGGCTAGAGTGTAGCTCAGCAATAAAGCACTTCCCTGGTACGACAGGCCTGGGTGCAATCCCCAGCTCCACCAGAAGACAAACAAAAATTCAACTAAAGCAAATGGCTAGAAAGTACATCTAAATGAAATCAGCATTTGTAAGGAATTTATAAGTAATCAGTATTATAAGGAAATTAATATTCAACCGAGGATAGCTTAGATCCATGAAAATATTTTTGTCTTAATTTTACACAGTAAACAGTTCAGTTTAAAAGTGTGAAATATATTCTCATAAATAGAATCACAAAAGTTTTTCTTTTTACTTTGCATATTTTTTAGGCACATCTTTGGAATGTTTAAGGTAAAATTTCTAATTTTGGAATTAATTGTCCCTTTATTCAGATATGCACAGATTTTTACGTATTGGGTTATCACTTAAAAAACACTTTCTTTGAAAGAAAATAGTGGAATTACCAACATTTTCTGAGTATTCAGAAAAGTTCAGATATTTTTAACTCCCTATGATCAGCTTGAATAGACTAAAATTGTTTTTCTTTTCCTTTGATCTCACTAACCCAGGAGGAAATCATCTGATCGAGAATGAAGTTTCTACCCCAAAGTCATCTGCAAGAGTCTTCGGGAAATGATAGTACTAACACCCCGACACACCCCGACCTGGCTGACCCTCTGCCCCACAGGGCAGGCTGTCCACACCCCAGCAAGGCCCACGCCTGACTCCATGTAGGGCGAGATGACTTTGGTTCAAGACCACAAAGACTCTCATGGTCGCCAGTTTCTTGGGGACCTTCCAAATGGTGTTAGGTTGAACTCAGAAGCTACTTAAAAGTCAATAAAGTAGACATGATTTTCCTAACCCATCTGGTTACCTCAGCTTTCCTTACATTGGCCTTCATGGAGGACATTTGTAACGTGGAGGAAATATTCTGATTAGAAGATGTGACTCAAAAAAACAAATAAGAAAAAGAAAAATACATATGAAAAGTAAACAAAAACCAGGTACCAATGCGGGGCTCAAGCTTGGCTCTGTGGAAAAGTCACCTTGAGGTTGATAAAGTTCTGGATGGTGGTGACAGTTACCTAACAATGTGAATATACTTAATGCCATGAGTCGTACAATTTAAAATGGTTAAAAGGGTCAACTGTTATCAACAATCTGCCACAGTAAAAAGTCAGTCCTATACTAATATTCATATTCCCCTCTACTCCAGTATGAACACATCTGGCCAAAATTTAAGAAACTTATTCTAAAACCAGACAAGGACAAGGCATGATGTTTTCATTTTTGCTAAAGCTCTCTCATCATTTAAAACATATAAAGGTAGAAAGTCACTTAAATGTTAGCCTCACACAGTAGTTCCCCACCATTTTATTGTTGGCATTTAAAAGTGGTGCTAATTTCTATGCAGCTCCTCCAGGCTAGTTTATGACATTCCTTAAACAACTAAGTAAGAACAGAGACACAAGGATGAAAGAACCTCATCTCTGTCCCTAAAAATGTTCTATGTGGGTACTTTTCCAAAACACAGTGACTACTGAAGCTTTTTCCTGCTTTCCATCTTCACTAAGTTGCAATGTGCTTTTTCTCATGATTTGGTCTGTTCTAGCCCCGTGCTCCCTTCTCCTCCGAAGCACACTTAGGATACACATAGTGGGGTGAGTGATATCATAATTATAGTTTTGGGCTGCCAGTCCTGCAGACACTGTTCTTTTCAGCGCTGGGCAGATAGAGAAATCCTTACCCTGGGTAAAGAGATCCAAGGTGAATAGGTGAATGCCAGGTGGGTCCACAGTTCACGACTGGTGTCAGACAGTTCAGAGCAGCAGTTCTATAAACAGCAGACAGCAGCAAGCTGTCAGGATGTCTACTTATAAACAAGAAAGTGAAGTTCATGTTTTCTTGGTCACAGGAACATAGCAAGGGGATCACCTCGTGACAGTGCCAGTGCATAAGTCATGCAAACCATGGGCTGTCCCAGAAGGCAGGGGCTGTGCAGATCCAGCCAGAATTCTTGTCTTGCAGGATTGTCAGGGTAACACAAAGCCCCTCCATCTGAGTTCACTGCTTTCCAACCAGAAACCAAAACAGAGAGGGCACCCCTGGACATCCTGCCTGTGCAGTACATATCCATTGCCAAAGAAAGTGAATGCTGCTTTCATATACCGCGGCATTCAACGCTGTTAAAAGAATTTACTGAAGATGTAGGAACATGTGGGGCAATGTTAGCACCTAACATCCTGTTAGTAAATCACTTGTTAAGAGAGGGATTTGTGACTTTGAAGCAGTACGTCATTAGCAAAAGTTTTAAGTTTGTATTTATTGAAACTCTAAACAGAGGGGCAAAGCACCTCCAACGCTGGCGCCCTCCGAGTCCCTCCTCCACCAGGACGGACCTGTTCATTCCGGAACACTCTCTTCAAGGCCTGCGGATTGGTACATTAGTTTCAGCGGCAAGTTGAAGGCTCCTTCACCATGTAACCCAGTGTATTCACGGGTTCTGGGATTAGCACACGCTACCTTTGTGTCTGGGCTCATTATTTGGCCTGCCACAAAGAGATCTTCTCATTAAATACACATGTTAATATACACGAAATACACCACAGTTTAATAGTTTTGTGAGGGTTCAATAACTGTCATTCAGTCATCTTAATCCACAGGATTTATCTTTTTTACCTAAATAAAACTCATTAAAATGGCCCAATACAACAGTGACAAAAAAGGTAAGAGAGGTAACAAACTGTACAATATTACAAAGTAGTGGTTACTTGTGTTTGTAGGTATATATAAACATGTACGCATATACACACGTAATTTTAACGTTAATCGGGCGGCTCTAGCAATGAATGCTTCTGAAACGCAGCCCTGCTTCTGAAGAGGGAGGCGCCCACGGTGAGACTCCTGGTAAGGACGCACAGGTCAGGGGCAGATGCTTCCTCCCGGGCTGAGGTGCCTCACGTGGCCTCCCGCTGTCCACAATGAACTGTGTAGCCGAAGGCCCGCTGCTGTCACGTGACCAGACCCTGTCTGTACAAGGTCAAGCCGCCAATCCCGGTGACACCGGCACACCAGCACAGTTGCTTCTGAGGAAACCGCGGGGCGACGAAGGAAAATGAGCCCCACGTGGTCCACCCAGCGCCCGAACTCTGGAGGAAGGCGCACATTCCTTCTGGGGCGGACACACTGGCCTGGGCTTCTGAAAAATGCTGTGCCTGCCAGCGTGGCCCTTTCACTGGCAAGAGCTTGTGCTGGTCTACGGCAGACTTAAAAGACAGGGATGTGGTAGTGCCGGTCGTCCTCGGTCAGCAGGGAGATCTCGGGCCACTCCCGCAGGGGCTCCTCGGGGTAGCACACTGCGAAGTCTCTGGAGTTGAACCTGAACAGTCGGAGAACCTTTATCTTCACCTCCAGGGAGTACCCCAGGATAAACATATCGATCTGGTGACAAGATCAAAGAAAGGTCATCAAGATACCGTTTCAGACGCCTGCCTCCCTGGGGTGGGGAGCTCGCCTGTCTCTGCAGCTGTGAAAGGCTCCCCTTGTTACACACCCACTGGGAAGCCCACGCGTGGGTGGAGACTCAGGGACACACAGCCATTGTGCAGGAGGACGGGACGCACGTGGGAGCAGCTCTAGCAGGCCCAAAGACATCAGAGGACAAAAGTTGTTTGGAAAAAAATAATCAAAAAGAACACTAGCAATGAAAAGTTACAGTGTTTTCCAATTAGTTTGATCTCGTTTCAAATCACTTTGTGTAAGTTTCAGATAATTAATGTTTGTTCTCTAGGCAGCAAAGCAAAAGAAAAAACAGACCCTTACCATGGGAAAAACATATTACAAATTTTAATGGGGAAATTTTTTTCTGGACCTAAAAGGCTTAATAACTTTTATTTATCTGTAGTATACAACCAAAAAGTTCCTGAAGTTCTCTCATTTTCCAGCAGGTCTTTCTCCTGGTTACTCCTCTGTGGGAGAAGCCAGCAGCAGAGTGAGGGACGGGACACTCCTGACCCCGCTGGTCTGCAGGTGCAGTGGGGCGCGTTACCCCCCTCTCCACACTTGGGGCCAGTCTGACCCAGCAAGTAGCACCGGGGGTGATTTTACTGCTGCCGAAAGCACACGCCTAGGGCCCGTGTGTTCAAGTGCGGTCTGTATCACCCTCTAGTCACACACACACATTTCCCAGGTCCCCGCTCACCTGCTCTAACCCACACGTGTCGCCTACAGAGTTCAGGTGATTCATCATGAAGCTCAGAGGATCTGCCGACGTCTCTCTGGAGAACAGCAGTCTGAAGAGACTTGGAATGATCTTGTTGGTTTTCATTTGTTCATAGACTTCAGTGACCTGATAGAGCATGATGAACTTCAAAGCTTCATAAAGCTTGTATTCCAGAATGGCATCGGAGAAAAGGATGTTGCACATGCTTCCTCTCTTGTGATAATCCTTAATGCTGCTAAATTCGGTCCACTAAAAAATGCAGATGTGAGGTGAGGTGAGGTGAATGCGTACATCACTGCGTAACTTCCCAGCACTGATAACCTTAGCGAAGATTAATAGAGGAGAATTCGAGGTGTAATCAAAACATAGTGTGTAAATAAAAAAATTACAATGGTAAAAGGCACGAAGCCATTAATCCCCCAAATGCTCCCCTCTCCCACTTGTCTCACTGCTTGACACTTCTGAAGCAGCTCTGCAAGTCCCTTTCCATGGCTTTAGCTGCACTGCTGTGGCTGACAAAGCCCTGAATTCAAAATGTTTGACCTCTGGGAAGAGTGAGAGAGAAGTCCCACAGTGCCCAACCAAGGAGGGCAAGGGCATGAGGGAACATCGGTAGGCCCGCCTTCCCGCGGGGTGCCACTCGGCTGCAGTAGGTACTGTACTTGCAATCACACTGCTTGTGAGACGACTCTAGCACTACTTCAGACAGTGGTGAGCATGACTGGATAAGTGTGTTCAAAGGGCAGGTGTTAAATGGGAATTAATGACAGCATGTCATTTACTGAAATATGATTTTTATAAAAATTAGGCATTCGTATTTTCTCATCACCCCTTTTAAAACTTTCTAACTTTTCCTTTTGTATCTTTCTGCACTTTTTAAAAAAACTTCATACTATGATAGAACAAAGGTATCACCTCACTTTTGTTTCCCCTAAAGGCCCGGTAGCAAATGCCTAATTCCAGGGTGGTGGCAAGGCCTTTGGGGGTGACTGGTCCTGTGGGCGGAGCCCTCATCAGAGGCGGAAGAGTGCTAGTTTACCTCTTGCCACAAGAGGACAGGGTACGAAGATAACCAACAGGAAGCCCTCATTAGACCCCAGCCTGGCGGCTCTTGCATCCCAAGCTCCCACCTCCAGTGTCTGGTTTTTGTTATAGCAGCCCACTCCCCTTTGACAATGACAAGTTAGGGGTTTTACATTTTATTTACTTTTTTAGGTACTAGGAATCGACCTTAGGACCTTGCACTTGCCAGGCAGGTGCTATGCCACTGAGCTACGTCTGTGACAATTAGTTTAAATAAACTGTTTTTGCAAAAAGGCATCACCTGCTAGGTCAAGTATCCAGCACATCAGTTCCCTAAAACTGTGACTCAGATAGCGGGGCTTCCAAGGAGACTGCAGTGAGTGACAGTGCCAGACCCTTCCACACTCACTGCATGCCAGGTGCAGTCCAGGGTGCTCTGTGCCCATGAGGCCACCAGATTCTCTCGATGGCAACACAAGGTTTATGCCATTCATAATTCTCTTTTACACACATGAAACCTATGGCTCAGAATAGCCCAGGGATTTCTCAAGGTAACCGGGCTCATTCCAGTCATCCAAAGTCCGTGTCATTTGTACAGCAGGAAGAACTGTAGCCAGCCGGAGACACAGGGGCCACCCATGTGAACAGGGTGCACTGCAGAGAATGTTTCAGAGCCCCTCACTGGAACCTGCTTACAACAGTGCCGCTCTTCACTACTTGAAGAGAAAAAAGTAATCAGCCGGTGGAAGGAGCATCTCTTACTTGCCTCACCTGAAGGGTGCGCGTGTGGGCCATGTTCATACGCCTACAACTTTTTGTTAGTTTCCCCCAAATGCTCACCTGAGTTTTCAATAGTTCCACACATTTACGTAACTTCCCAAACACGTTGGAACCCGTATACTTCTCAGGACCAAAACTGTATTGCTGGATCCAGTTACAACCTTGTGAAAACAGCAGTTTTTCAGGAAGCTTAAAAAGGAAGTCGATGCCAACAATGGTTAGTATCTCAACATCTGTGACACAGTTTGGAATATGCTGCAGCACACAATCTCATCTCAGTCAGCAGCCTTCAGTTAAAGGACAGTAACAAGTTGGGCGAGGTAAAGAGCGTGTATTCATCTTTTCCTTAGATCTGTGGGTGACAATCTAAAGACTATCTTTACCTCACTTCATATGTGCTAAGATTCCACATATAGGAACATGCCCATAGAAATAATCTTTGTGAGTAAAACACTTCCGATACAGCTCATTTTCACTGTTTTTCACTGAGGGATGGCAGAGAAGAACAGAGCAGCAGGGTACAGGAAGACTATGTAACAACTTCCACCCTGGTCCAAACCCAGCTGTACTCAGCCGCTGAGAGCGATGTGGCCAGTCCCTCTTAGGTATTTTCACCTCTCAGCTTTATCCTTCCCCGGCTCTCACCAGGGTGAATGACTTACGCTGTGTGTAAGAACCGATCGCGTGTAGTATCCAATACACTTTCCCACCCAGCTCAGCTTGGTAAACCCAGGGCCTCTGTCGTAGTGTTTGCCCTCAGCAGCGACTGACAGGGCTAGCATACTGTGTACACCTGACAAGTACTTGCTAGATAAGGTGGAAGTGGTAAAAACAAGTTTAAATAAAAGACGTCAAAGAAATAGAATTTGTGAATCCTACCTCAGATTAGGCATACTGCACTCAAAATTAAAATTATGGTTGTTAAAGAACAGACTACTGTACACTGTCAAGAAAATGATAAAATGAGCCATAGACTAGGAGGAAAAATCTGCAAATCACACAGCTGACAAAGTGCACTCAGAATTATCAAAATTGAACAGTAAGAAAAGTGGGCCAAAGGTTCAGACAGATGCTTTTCCAAGAAGGTTATATGGATGGGGAATAGGCACGCGAGAACATGCTCAGCATCACTACTTATGAGATGAAATGAAATGTAAAAGCATGACGATGCCGGGGTACACAGATCAGAACTGTTAAAAATAAGAAACCTGCCAGGTCCAAGTGCTGGTGAGAATGCAGAGTGACTGGGAGTTCTTTCACAGTGACCGATCCACTCTGGAAACAGTTTAGCAGTTTCTTGTAAAGTTTAGTACATGCCTCCCATACCATCAGGCAGTCTAACTCACGCAAAGATGGGGCATTAAAAACACACAAACCCAGGTAATGCCTTTCTGAGGTGGATTTGCAAGCTGGCCTAAGAGAGAGAGGACTGGGTTCAATGACCTCACAAAGTTCCTCCAACCTGGCCATCCTGTGTACAGAGCTCCCCAGAGAACCCCAGGAGCCTCTGAGCTCCAGAGTGAATGTGTACCTTAACAATGTCCTTTTCCTTCATCCAGGACGGAAAAGAAAGGCCCTGGCTGAATATCTGAAACAACACCGATCTCAGAGCATCGTAATGATCTCTCTTTACTTGCCGGACACATTTAATATGGTGCCGCCAGAACAGCTCCTCATAAGCCTATTGGCACAAAAAGAGAAAGTTTTAATTAAACCCACTGGGCAACAGAATAAGAAAACAAATTCAAAGGACATACTGCAAAAGTGCTTTCAGTGAGGTGCTCCTGCCATCAGAAATAATGATAAATTATGACTCTAACTGTGTGTGTATAAAGTGACTCTCACACGTAAGACCTGCATCACCGTATTTTAGATGACAAGTCCAGGAAGACCAAGGCGAAGTCATTAGCACAATGAAAAGTTCTATATATTTTAAAGGTCATGCTGCAGAGTTCTTTAAATGCACCCTCTCACCCTTCTTTTGCTTTTGCTGGTGACAAGATGGGGTAGCACTTTGGGAAGTATTTACCAAAATTAGTCCAATGGAGAGTTCTAAGCTCCTCCACGTATTTACGTCAGGGTGTGTGACCCTTCCAGGAAGCAGCTCCACTGTACACACACACAGATGTTTCATAGGCCTGTTTGGGGGAGCTGAGACACTGCTCCGGCCTCCTGAGCTTAGAGACCGAACTTAGGTACTCAGTCCTCCAAGGCACAGGCTCCAGTTCAAAGGCCTCAGTCGGCTGCTAGCAGCTGTGCGGCTCCTGAATTCAAGCCACAGCGTTCCTTATACCCCTTTGGTACTAATGCAGGGCATAAAGTTTTCTGACGGAAAGACAAAGTCTACATCTTCCCACAACTTCTGTAAACAGACACACCTTCCTCATCAGTTTGGCATGGGGTGTTTCTCCTTTCCATTCTCTTGCACAATAACTGAGCAAATCAACTTCTGCCTCCACACTGAGGTTCCCTAGACCAAATAAAAAATAAAAGGCAGTTAATTTTCCCTTTTCCTTCCCTCTTGGCCCTTCTATTCACCCTAAAAATAAGGAAACATATACATAAAATATTTACTTTTGAATTTTCTCTGCAGATATCCGATCCACCTGAAAAGTAAAGGAAGCAATAATATCAAAAGTCTGCACTGAAGAACAAGGCTATTTCTGAGATTTGAAGGTGAAGCAGTGACATACCATTTCAGCCGGTGTCCTAAATAGAAGTGCAGCCTCCTGAAGTAGCAGAGCGTGGCCACCAGCAGCGACACGGCCATCATCACAGAGCCCTTGGCTATGCGCCAGGCAGTATCTAGGGCCTGGCTTGGAACTAGTGTCCAGGAGTGAACTTGGTCACTTCCTAACAAAAACAAACAATGAAACCAAGAAGCCTATAGCAATTTAAGTAAGTCTCCTTTAAGGAAAAAAATATATATACATTGAATCATTTTACCCATTACGCATCTGTCACTGAATTAAATATTTACTTACTTAGTAACTTTTTCTCATTGTAACTTAGTTACTTTTTCTCATTGTTGAGAATAAAAGTACCTGACGCCCAAAGTGAAGCAAGGGGAGGTTTATTTCTTATACTTTTGGAGGTTTCAGTCCATACTCAGCTGCTCCAAGGCAGGATGGCATGGCGGGGCTGCTGTTCGTGATCACCACAAACAGCAAGAGTGAACATAGCAAAAGAGGGAAAACGTGCCTTCTTCCTACCCTTACACTGTATGCTGGCACCACCCTGGGTGGGTACAGCACTCACACTACCAATCCCAGTGCTAGACAATGAACCAATAATGAACATTAGACTCAGCCATGTCCATGACTGCACGAGGCTGTGGGGGGCACCTAGACACAAATCATAACGTTCCATCCCTGGCCCCCTAAAGACTCATGTACATCCTTTACACAAAGGACATTTAGTCCCATCTCCAAGAGTTGCCAAAGTCCTAACAGTTTCGGTATTGCTGAAAAGTCCAAGTCCCAAGTCTCCTCTGAGACTTAAGGCAAATTCTTAGCTGCAAGCCCGGGTATAAATGAAAAAACAAAGTTAAACACTTCCAACATACAATGGCACAAGGTAAACATTATCACTCCAAAAGTTATACACAGGGGAATACAAAGCATTGGAACTAAAGCAAGTCCAAAATCCAGCAGGGCAAACATTAAGTCCTGGAGTTCCATACTCAGCATCTGAAACATTCTGATTGCAAGCCCCAAAAGGCTTGAGTGACTCTATCCCTACGGCACTTCCAGTGGTTTTAGCTCCCACAGTTTCTCTTTTAAGCCCACTCTGCTCAGTCCTTGCAGCCTTCCTCAAGTGATCCATGTTCCTGGCTTTTCCAAACTCCTGGAATCTCCAGTGTACCTTTGGCTTCACACTCACAGCCTTAATATTGCTCTCTCAGGGGTACACTGCTTGGCCTTCCAGGCCTTCTGAAATCAGGATGGAAGCTACCTTAACCTCACAACTCATGCATTCTCCACTCACCTAAAACCAGTGCCTCGTGGATGCTACCAAGGTCCACGGCCAACTGAAGCACTAGCCAGGCCTTCCTCTCTCTTGGCTGTAGGGGTTGAGTGCCTGGATCGCTGAGCTCTCTCAACTGATTGGGAGGAACAGCTTCTCTATGCCGCATCATTCTGCAATCTGCAGGTGCCATCATTTTGGAACCTCCTGTGGCCTTCATTACCACTCTGGAACATGACATTCTGTGGCTTTCTCCTCTGAGCAAAGTCTTTCACTTTTTAAGTTTTGAAGCTGCAAAGGGGAGAGATCTGCTGCTTCCTGGGATACCCCCATACCATCTTTTTTATTTCTCTGTTCCTTCTCAGCATTTGAGGTCTCAGCTATCTTTACAGTCCACAGCTTTACTGGAGATTTTCTTTTTGCCAAACTCAAAATGTTTTAAATCACCCTGCTGGGCTCTTGGCTCTTGATTCACAACATAAATCTGGCTAAAAGCCTCCAACAATAGCCATGCCACTGCCTCAACATTAGATTGCCATGAAATTTCTTTTGCCAGATTAATTCATTGCCCTTAATTTCAGTCTCAGGTAAAGTCTCTGGACATAAGCAGAATGCAGAAAGATTTTCTGCCAAGCCATAACACACATTATGTGGAGTTCAACAACCAATGCAGTCCTTCTTCCCAGCAGAAACTTCCTGAGCCTGGTCTTTACTGGCAGGCTTTTTATCAGCCTTCTGGTCTCCTGAGCTCTGACCAGAATCTCCCCTACAGAACAGCCTAAGCTGTTCCAGCTCTATACATTCAGGTGACATCTCCAAACCATTCCGAACTCTCCCCACAAGCCATTCCCAAAGGGCCTTGAACCACATGGTCAGGTATAGTCACAGCAATGACCCTACTCCTCTGCTACCAAATGCTGTCTTACTTTCTTCTCATGGCTGAGACAAAATACCTGATGCCCAAAGTGAAGCAAGGAAAGGTTTATTTCTTACAGTTTTGAAGGTTTCAGTCCATACTCTACTGGCTCCAAGCAGGGTGGTATAGCAGAGGGGCAGCCATTCATGGCAGCCACAAATGACAAGAGTGAACGGGGTAAAAAGGGGGACATGCCTTCTTCCTCCCTTTTATTGTACACCAGCTCTGTACCTGGGCAGCTGTAGCATTCACATTGCCAATCCCAGCTAGACAATAAACCAATCACAAATGCTAGATTCAGCCATGTGCATGATGGCATGAGGCTTGTGGTGGACACCTAGACACAAACCATAACAAGTATTCAAAAACTCAATCCAAAAATTAAAGAAACACCTAGTTTTCCCCATATTCAGGGTCATGTAAAAAATCTTTGTAGCACACAGTTAAATAGGACAGTGAACAAAAACAGTAGGACTTGAGGATCCAGACTTCTACAACGTTACTATTTTCTTTCTCACCATGTGACTCTGCCGACCTGACCCTTCTTACGTTATATTTCTTGAACAGTAAAATACAGACCCTGCCTTGGAAAAGCTGACATATCAAGGCGTCAGTGCACAGCCTGGTTCACACTTGTTTCTTACTGAGTACCTGCTGAATGTGTGCACAACCACAGGGACTAATTCAGCCAAGGCACACTGCTGACATGAAGCCAGCGGCCTCCAGCCGCCCACTGCTGTACTTCTGCATCGTGATTGGCCATAGTGTATAGTGTCATTTTAGTTACACAGAATGCGTGACCTGAAACAGCAGGAACACAGATGTCATTTCCAGAAAGTGAGCCACAAAAAAGAAAAGTCATGAGGTGATCCAGACACGCTACTTCTGTACACACACAGTGATCTCACAAAGAACAGGCTAAGTGGACCTAAGAGTTCACGTAGGGCACTTGCAGGATTTTGCTGTGTTCAGTAGATTCCTGATTATATTCCATGTGAACATGCAAAATGCTGACGTGCAAATGAGGAAGAGGATTTTTGAATAATGGCCAAATCTCCTGGGTTGTGTTGTGAAATAATTTCCTCACAGCACACAGTTTAGTAAAATTCCTGTGACTGAATACAGCAAAAGCCTTGTCAACATGGGCTACACTATTCTAGCATTTCTGATGTATACTGGCACTCTTTACAAAACAGAAACTTACTAACAAATACAGAAGAAAATGTTACAGGCAAATTAAGAAAACATACTCCCAGGCCTTAAAAGGACAATTTCAAACATGTGCTTATCTATTTAGAATAGCCAATTAGCTATTTAAATTCTATTTACTACCACCTAGAAATTTAGTAAGATTTTTTATATTTAAAAATATAAAACTATCCTGCTTCTGTATCCATGATTTACATTTTTATTAATTCAGATGGCTTTCTGAACTTTGAAAATTCTGACACAGGCAAATAATTTTAGGAAATTCTGCAATTCGTGCAAGAATTACAATCGTGTCTATATGATATACAATTCTTTTATTGTACCTGTAAACATTTTCTAGAGAAATGGAACACTATAGGCAGATGTGACAGCATATGTCTATAATCCCAGCACTCAAGAGGCTCAAGCAGAAAGAATCACAAGTTTAAACCAGTGACTTAGCAGACCCTGCTTCCCAAACAAAGGGCTGCAAATGACGCTCAGTATGAAGGCTCTGGCTTTAAAATCTCCTGTAGTACACAAAAAGAAAAAGCAACATGGAGCATTACATTTATATTTTTTCATCTGGTTCAGGCTAGAAGGGCCAGGGAACATAACCATGCGTGCTGGGGTGGGCGCTGGGGACCTAAGCTGTAGGTGGGTGGGAGAGGGCTCTGCAGGGGCATGCAAGAAAAACAGAGCTTCTCCAACAACTAAAGTGACTACAGTCTGAGCAGCCACCGCGTGGCAGCCCCAGGGCTAAGCGCAATGGAGGGATCTTCTCATTTCCTCCTCTGAGCCAAGCGACGCAGCGACAGTGAAGCTGGCCCTCTACACAGTAACATGGGCTGGGGACACGAGGAGCCCGGTTCAGCTCCAGTCTCAGACCCAGGAATGGGATCAACACACATGGAGCCTCGTGCACAGTGTGGGCTCCATGCACACCTGCTGTTGTCACCACTGCATGTCACAACATGGGAGGCACTGCTGTTTCCAACTTTTAGCACCACCATGGAGCATCGTGGAAATGCTAGGAAAGCACTTAACACAATGTGTTCACACCAGAAGTACCCAGTAAAAAAGCTAACAATTCATTTGTATTCTTACTACTGCCATCAACTTTGTTTTGCACATAAGAAAAAAATGTAAGAAAAAAAAAGTAACTACCTGTGGGATTGAGCTGGTAAGTGGCACAGCTTCAAAGAGGGGGTAGATGGAACACTAGAAGCTGCCTGTCTTACCCTTGGTTGTGCTATCTCTGAATTACGGAGTTGAGTAAATCTTCAAACCAACGTTGCTACTACAAAGAGAATCAACATCCTTTTAAAAGAGAAACTTAAATTCTCCTGCTGGGCCAATTACTAAAAAAAGAAAAAAGAAGAAACATCATAAAGACACACCTCACAAACAGTCTCATGATGACAGTTTTGATGATACTCCCAGCAGAAGCGGATTCCTCCAGACGCAGCTGGAGAAGGGTAACACCTGCAATATCAGAAGGGTCTGAGGGTCACCCCTTCCTGCCAGGGAGAATTCTGCAGTCGCCACCCGAACTTCCTGTCCTTTCCCCAGGAGGAGTGGGCACCCGCCTGACAGGGTCCTGGTGCTTGGTGACAGGGACTTGGTGAAGGAGGAAGAGAGGAAAGGTTCCATCATCCTACATCAGGAAACAAACAAAAGGGAGTGCTCATGGGGCAAGTTTGGTCAAAGAACAATCTTTAGGAAATTCAACTTGCAAGAAGCTGCAGGAAAGAGAGGTGGTACTGCCAGGAACTGTGGATGCTGTGCCTGTCAAGAGACACATAAAATGAAATTTCCTTTCTATCCTTTTGGGCTGAACATGTGGGAGGAGGCGGACATGCGTGCACAGAACAATGCATTTCTGTTAAACTAAGAAACAGATTAACCAGCTCTCACACATCTCAACCTCCAGCATCAATGTATGCTGAGACCCTGAACTACACACCAGCAGAAACAGTGCTTTGGTAGTTAAAACATCCCTGGGGAATGACACTGGGCCTCCCAAAATCAACCTGTGACTATCTGAAAAATCGATCTGTGATCACTGCAACTACCCAGGACTACAACTACAAAAAGGCACTGTTTTCTGTAGTAAAATTCTAATCTGCTTTTTTTCCACTCTGTACAAAATATCAAAGCTGAAGTAATTCACACACTAACACAGGAAACTGAAAACAAAAAACCCCTAAAAAAAAAATGAAAGACACCAACCAGCCGGAAATTAAGTGATCAGATCTACCCTACGGCCTGGGACTCCCGGTGGCAGAACAGCAGATTCTCACAGGGACACTAGGCAGCACCTGCTGTGCCTCCAAAACTCCCAGTGCCGCTTCGGGTCCAGGATGGCTTCCCCTTACTCTGTTCTCCGTGGACTGCCAGTCTTTAACCTCACCCACATCCTCTCCAGTCTTCTTCATGGCACAATGCCAAGACCATGTGTGTTGGTCAGCTTCTTACCACCATGACCAAACATCTGAGAAAGCAATTCACAGGAGGACACACTTATTTGGGCTTACAGTTCTGGACATTTCAGTTTATGGTTGGCCAGCTCCACTGCCTTTAGGGCTGTGGCAAGGCAGGACCATCATGGCAGCCAGGAAGCAGAGAAAGAACAAAAGACCTAGAGCGAAGGCCCACCCCACAGTAACCCACTTCCTCCAGTGGACACCAACTCCTAGCACCTATTCAGCTGTGTACTCACTGACTGATTACTGATGAGGTCAGCACCATCACCATCTAATCACCCTTCCAGGCGCCACCTCTGAACATTACTGCATTGGTGATTGGGCCCTTAATCCATGGATGTGGTGGACTAACTAATGGTCAACTTGTAAAACCCAGCTGAACTGAACCTCCTGGTGTGCCGTTGATTCTCCTGGAGAAGCCCGTCATGCTGATTTCCCAGCATGATGTACACTCAGTTGTTCTCATCGCTGGAGGAGCTCGAGTCCTTATTGTCACTGAGGATGGCTGTGGTTTCCTTCAGGGGAGTTCTTTCTTGAGTGTCACTTCCTGCCTCCAGTGTAGATCTCTCAGCCTGTGGGCACAGCACCTTCACCCCACTGGTACAGACTTTCTATCTTCCACAATAGACCTTTGGGCGATAGCAGATCCTTGGTAAGGACTTGCATGAGACGTTGTTGTGGACGCTAGGCCTCCAGCTGGACTTGTGGAGGACATTACCACAAGCGCAAGGTCTTCAGCTGGACTCATATAGGACACTGCTGTGGGATCCATGCCCTCAGCTGGATTCTTTGGGTCTCTAGTGTGTGGACAGAACCCCTGCACTCTTCTGCATTTGACTCCTTGGGTGACTATTATAAAACAATCCTTTAAATTATGTGTCCTGTATTAAATCTATTCCCTTGTAAACCCTGACCACAACAACGAGGCTCTGGGAACACTTCGTATTTAAACCATGATGCGCCTTCTCTCTGCCCATTTCAACGGAATCAACGGTCCTCAGCTCAGCGCCTGTCTCCTAAGCAAGCAGATGTGGCATATCAGAAATGACTTAGTGGGCCAGGGAAGGCAGCATCAAACCTGAGGTAGGGTGGAAAGATTTAATTTTAAAAGGCGAGGTAGGCAGAGGGAGTGAAGACACACAGTAAAAATCCCTTTGTCGGGCACAAAGGCACCCATCTGTAATCCTGATTCAGGAGGCTGGGCCAGGAACTGCAGGTTTGAGGCCAACTCAGTGAGAGCCTGTTCAAAATAAATAAATTGGGCTGCAGACATAGCTCAGTGGTACAGCACCCATAGGTTTGACCCCAAGTACTACAAAAATCCCTTTGTCTAAAAACTTTAAAGTAAAAAAATGTTTAATAAACAACAGATATTTCTTTTTTTTATTTAAAAGGAAAAAAAGAAAAAACAAAATAAAACAAGACAAAACAGTGTAAGGGTACAAGTAATACAGGACTACAAAAAAACAGTAAGAAATCATCAGTTAACAGATTACACATTGTCATCTTAGAAATAGTGCTCAAGTCACAGGATCAAAGCATACAAAGTGGACACATTCAAACAGGGAGACTGCAAACAGAACAACAGATATTTCTATCTGCTATAATTCCACATTATGGTTAGAAAAAATGCCCTCTTCTTCTGTGAAATGATGATGTCTAAAGACTTTCCAAATATTTGTATTTCACATATTAATTTTGCTCAATTGAGAAACAATACTCCTACTTGGCAAAATATTAAAAGCAACACTACAAGATCGGTATCACTGGGGAAGGCAGCCACAAAGTCGAAAGTTCTGACCTTGAAAGCCATGACCAGCACAGCATCCGACTGTAGCCTGTCACGCAGCCTGCTTAAGCTGTTGCACCGTCCTCACAGATTGGCCGCACTCACCCGGGCTCCAATCTAACTGCAAGAACCCAGAATACCGCAGAAAAGTGCCCCCTGCCCACCAGAGAGCTGTGCATGTGTGAGCTTTTCATAACATCGTAGGTTAATTTTCTTCTTCCTGGTACTATATCTTGCAGGAGTATTAAAGACGCCCATTACTTTAAGGCCAGTTTAGTTTTCTAACTGTGTGTGGGGTTTTTAAAACCTACCCAAGCATAAAAAAGCAGAAGGTACAACAAGCTCTATCAAAGAGCAATCTATCTATCAGTCCTTCCCTGGGAAAGGACAGAACTCCAGGACCACTTCATCCAGCCAGGCAGATGCTCTGGCCAGGGAGAAAAAATGGATTCTGCAAAACAAGCAAAAACCTCATGTCTTCATTCTACCATTTTCTGCCTTCAGGACCTTGGACAAATCACTTAGCCTCAACAATGCCAAAGAGTTCCCAAATGGCCAACAGCAAGAAATAAGCAGGGCTGGAGCAAAATTAAACAAAGGAACACTACCCAAGTACAATCTATTCAGCTGAATCCCTGCTCAATCTCCCCAACCATTTTGTAGAAATCTACTTCCTTTTTCTGAATGCTTCTCTTTTTATTGCTCAAAATATGTCCTTTTTCTTTGAACACAGATCAGGCTTCCCTTGCAGATCAGGCACTAGGCCAAAAGCTGATGGCACAGCCACAAACAGACTGGATTCTGGGACGATGGACACACAGACCTGCCCCATTGAGACCCAGGAGAAAGCAACAAAGGCAGATGAGCAACCTGACACAGGAAGTGACTCTGATCAGGCCAAGACAGGAGTTGCTGGAAGGGAGGCCAAGCTAGGACTCCAGGTTGCAAGGCTGGGGAGCTGGCCTATAGATGTCAGTGTGTCATTGAAGAGCAAGGAAACTCCTCAAAAAGGTTTAAGAAGGGGCTGCTGGGACCAGACCCAACTTGACTACAACTTGAATGTTACTGCCTGGGTCAGGAAGAAGAAGTCTGACTCCTTTTTTGTAAGACAACTGCTTACATCTTTCCCTGAAGGGCAGACAGCCTTGGGACAAAGGGACTTGGATCCCACTGCAGTCCAAGGCTGGATTCCAACCGGGTATGTGGGCAGAACTGGCCCTGACCAGCACGCTCCCAGCACGCCATCCACAATGCAGGCCGGTTCTGTATCTTTGTGACTGTCCCCCTGGAAGACCTGCAAATACCTCTAAGGTGACTACTGAGTCTTTTAAGTTTTTTAACTACCAAAAAAAGAGGCAAAGAACCGGCATTGGCTCAGCCCTCCTTAGGGTCCGCTGGCAGAGCAAGAGATAGTATTCCAATCAGGGAGCCAGAGAGAACACTACACCTCAATTTGCAATGGACCTGGGCACCTGACGAGAGGTCTCATGAATGCTTTACTTTTGAGGTGAAGGAACAGGAGCCCAAGGAAGACAAGAAGTCTGAATTTAAACCCATGCTCTGAATGAAGGCCAGTGCCCTCTGAACTAACTACATTCCTGCCTTCCCCTGAGGAATTCTCTCCCGAGAATGAGAATAGTCAGAGCACCAACTTCAAAGTTTGCTCATTTCCATCATTTCCACCCCATCTCTGTCAACCCCCTACGTCAGACACCCCATTTTCCCCACCATATGCTGTTGGGGGGCTCTCCACTGTCCTCTCACTCTTGTCTGAACTCACTCCACTTTTATAGTGAGGCCCCAAGTAGGAACGCAGCATGCTGGTGGGACCCCAAAGGGA